AATAGGGGACCCTAATATAGCACCGCAAATAGTAAGATCCTTATTTGAAGGATCCCAGAATATGATACCCCCTACTTTCGGAGACTCCCATATAAGGCGAAAAGCACAACAAAACAGAAAACGAAAACGACAAACAACAAGCAAGGAAAGCAACAAGAAGCGAAGCGTGAAGAAAAGGCAGGAAAAAAAGAAAACAGCAGAAAGCGGAGCGCAAAGCAAAAGCAGAAAACAAAAAGCAACAAGCAAAAAACAAAAACGACAGAAAGCAAAGGCACAAAAAGCACAAAAACAAAAAACTAGGGGTTTAGGGGTTTAGGGGTTTAGGGTTTAGAGGTTCAGCGTTTAGGGTTCAGGCCAGAAAATGACCCTTAAGCTTCGATACTCTTTCGGCGGTTCCTTGTTTATAAGGGTATAATATAATATGCCCCCAAACCCTATTCTAATAGTTAAAGGCCCCTATGTTACAACTATATATACATATATATATATATATATATACACACCATTATAGAACCCTTATAATAACCCTTTTAGTAACCCTTTAAACCCTGTTCTAGTAATTAAAGGCCCCTATGTTACAAGAATGGACTGCGATTGCCCAGCGTCTTGGTGGTCTGGCAGGAGGCAGGTTTCATGCTCCCGAATTTCCTGGGCGGCGAGTCTTGGCTTAGGGCTCATTTTTCCAAACCCTTAACCCTGAGTGTGTTGTTGGGTTTAGGGTTTAGGGCGCTAGCTTTTAGGGTTTCGGGTTTCGGGAGATGTTTCAGGGCTTGACGAGCTTGTTCTGGGCTGTTGCAGCTTTCTCGATGTGCTTTATGGGGTGTTTAGGCTCTTTGGTTTTTGCAGGATTGCATGAAATTACTATATGGTTTGTATCCCACCCAACAAAAAGTTATACGTGTGTGAGGTTATTCCATTAACAGACGGGCCGTACAAACGGCATGGGACCTGTCATGGGGTGCTACTACCACGCTCCGTTTCTACAAGAAGCCCCCGCAAAGCCCCGCGCACCCTCAGGAAACCAAGAAAAATGCCACTCGCAGTGAGAACCAGGGCCTACAGCTGAGGGCTTTAGGACTTTGCGGACTCAGCTAATGTAGGGGCTTTAATAATTAGAATAGAGTTTTGGTGTATACTGGTATAGGTAACTATTGAAGCCCCATAGTAGTCAGCAACCACCAACTCCCAGTTCATCCCCAATCGAAACCCTCGAAAAAAGCCCTGAAGATGACCAAGGTCCCACCCCACAACACGACAAGAGTGGGTAGTTCTCTAAGTTGTGGTCCCTTTTAGGGTCCTTTGTATAAAGGTGCCGTACTATTTTGGGTACCTAAAAAAGGACCTTAATTTCGAGAACTACCCAAGTCAGGGCGAGCTTCTTGTAGACGAAGCTTCACGGTATGGATGAGTTCCTTTGGGGGGTACGGATGGTAGAACTTATCTTTGAGGTGCCACGAAGGCAAATGCCATTCGAAGGCAGCTTGAACCAGGGATGGCTGCAGAGGGTTTAGGGTTTAGGGTTTAGGGTTTAGGGTTTAGGGTTTAAGGGGTGAGGGTCCTATAGGCTGATCAGGTTTGATCGGACCTAAACCATCAAAATCGTGCTTGGAGCAGTTGCATAATGTAATAAGATCCTAGAGTACCGGAGCTCTGGAAATTGTATAATGCAGGGGAGGATTTTGCGGATTCCTTACTATATTTATATTATAATATACCCCAAACCCTATTCTCCCTAAACCCTAAACCCTAAACCCTAAACCCTAAACCCTAAACCCTAAACCCTAAACCCCAAACCCTATTCTAATTCTTAAAGGCCCCTATATTGTTGGTCAGTATTCAGGCCAGCGGAGTTCCTTCGACAGCATTCACACAGTCTTGGGGCTCAAGGGTTTAGGGTTTAGGGTTTAGGGTTTAGGGTTTAGGGTTTAGGGTTTAGGGTTTAGGGTTTAGGGTTTAGGGGCCTTAAAAACTAGAATAGGGTTTTGGGCTGCTTTATAGTAAAATGATAATAAGGAACCCTAAGGAATAATAATGGTAATTATTTCGGCTTTTATATTATATATGCTCTACACGACTTAGTGGGTTGGGATTAAGTCTCGGGGCGCTGGGACTTGTGTGTTCCGGCTTAGGGTTTGGAGGTTTCGCGCTTAGAGTTGGCCAATGTACACTTTAGGGGTTTAGGGTTTGGTTCAGGGTTTAGGGTTTAGGAACTGAAGTCCTTTTCCCCATGTCCAAGTGACATGCGGCGATCGAACTACGAGCTGTACGGATCGCTTGAAAGGAGAGGGCACTGGGCCCCATCCACCCCGATCAAGAGTACTTAAGGGGTTTCAGGTTTACAGTTTAAGGTTCAGGGTTTTGCCACTTATGTGTACCGAAAAGTGCGCTGAAACGTGCCACACTAGCGATACAACTACTTGCAGGTCGATTCTATATTCTGGGAGCAGGCGTTTTAGAATGCGGGTTTTGCTTTTACTTCGACGCAACAAAACTGGAACAACAGTTTCGTCATGCCCTGGATGCAGCTTGCAGTAAAATGTCCTACATCCAAATTACAAGTTTTTGGAGTTCACTATTGGGCGCACGGGGGGCCAAACCCTAAACCCTAAAGAACAGTGGCCTAATCTACGGAGCCACCTGAGGCTTGCCCTCAGACGTTCGCGATGAAGACCTTTGCGGCCGGTCTTACGATGAGAACTAGAACAACCGTCCCCGCAGAGTTCCCTGAACCAGCTTCTGTAAAGGTTGCTCTAAAGGTTCTATGATCTAGGGGCATTGACAATGGGGTTCAGGTTTTGGGTGATATGACCCTATAATTGCGTTTAAACCCTCGAAGCTTGCATTAGCAACTACATGTAACTATTGAGACTTCTAATGTCGGCGCCTGAGTAGTTAGAATAGGGTTTTGGGGCCCATTATACTATAGTTATAACAAGGAACCCCAAAACAGTCTAGGTAATTATTAAGGAGCATCCTACTGAGACTTCTACGTTCGGTGTTCTTTGTCTAGAATCCCTAAACCCTAAACCCTAAACCCTAAACCCTAAACCCTAAACCCTAAACCCTAAACCCTCAACCCTAAACCCTAAACCCTAAACCCTAAACCCTAGAATCTTCAGGAGGCCGACCCTGGTATACTCTCACCAAGATTCCGTAAGAAGCCGGCAAGACCCTGATGTAAACCCTACTTAGAGGTTCCTGGGTAGTTATAAGTGGGGCTATAAGACCCCTACTATGGGTTATAACTATAGATACCTTACTTATAGCCCCACTTATAACTACCCATGAACCTCCAAGTACTTCGTTTCCGTCTAGCAGAGGCTATCTAAGGTTGAAGCCATGGGCCCGTAGTATGGGCCCTCAACCCTGCCATCCCTCTACACCTACCATATACCCTATATGTACCCTGATGGGTTTCTAGAAAGGCCTACTTGGAGGTTCGTGGGTAGTTATAAATGGGTTTATAAGTAGGGTAACTATAGTTATAACACATATTGCGGGACATATAACCCCACTCATAACTACCCCTGAACCTCCAAGTATACCCTATATGTACCCTTAAGGGTTTCTAGAAAGGCCTAACTAAACCCTAAACCCTAAACCCTAAACCCTAACTAAGGGTCCTTTTAGGGGCCCATACCTCTGACCTTGGAGGCTAGCAGCTGGGGATGGCCGAGGATTCCTCAAATTCTCAATCACTTCGGGCGGTTTAGGGTTTAGGGTTTCGGGTTTAGGGTTTTAGGGTTTAGGGTTTAGGGTTTAGGGCTTCGGGTTAAGGGTTTAAAGTGCGAACGTGATTAAAATCTAAACCCTAAATGCTTCCGAGAGACCGCCAAACTATCATCCCCTTTATAGGAACCCTTTACAAG